TGTGTGAGAAGAATATGAACATTATTATTTTGGTTCATTTGTGCTCGGTTGTACAATATACATTCTATTCTTCAACATTTCTCTATGATGTTCATGTATAAATGTCTATTTCGTCCTGTCTGATGATTTTGCCTTTTTTTGCTTTTGTTTTCAATATTGTTAAGCTCCTAGAACAAAGACCATGTAATTATTTTTGTTACATAGAATAAAAACACATGAATGTCCAGAGTTGTTGCCGTCTTGCTGTGGCATGTGTTTCCCTCCGATCTCATCCACACACACACACACACACACACACACACACACACACACACACACACACACACACACACACACACACACACACACACACACACACACACACACACACACACACACACACACCACACACACACACACACACACACACACACAACACACACACACACACACACAGAGTATGAGTCACCATCTAACAACGATGTCACACTGCTGCAGTTATGTCACCTTTAAAGCGGTTGTCATGGGAACAATTCAATCGCACAATGCAGGGAGACTCACACACTCACACCTGCATTACCACACACACACACACACACACACGCACACACACACACACACACACACACACACACACACACACACACACACCACACACACACACACACCACACACCTACACACACACTGTCATCATTTACAATGGCTGTGTAAATTAGTTTTTCCTCTGCGGACTCTCGCAGCTGGGTGGGAATGGATGAATAATTGTAACACAACAAAGTGACTCATGGAGATTAAGCTCTGACATCATGAATCGATATGGACTTTACTACGAATGAGAGACGGGATCAATAACAGAGACTGTGTGTATTGGAAACTTCCAACACATTTGCTTTGCTTTTTTTGTAATGCCTTGTTAAAGGACAGAAGAGTGGTGCAGTGATGGCGTATTTTTTTAGGCTGACAGCCAGTTAGTTATCACAAGATCTCCCACGACAAAAAACACAAAATAACATTGGTGACAAACATTTATGATACTTACATGTTTTATGCAGCAGGATAATCTCCACATATTAACAGCACCTTATGATTTTGAAGTAAAAAGCTAACTTTATAGGCTCGAAATGAACCACATGGCTGCGCATCACCTATGCTAAGCTAAAGGTGGCTAATGTTTAGATTGATGACGTTTGGTCGTTTTTTTAGCCACCTTTTTCATGTGGACATTCACACATGCAGCATTCACTGAGGTATTTTAATGTCGTAGAACAAAACGTGAACAAATTGGTGAAAAAGTGAAAAAGCTTTTGAACCAAAAACAAACTTGTTGAATTGGAGACGAGGTGGTAAGTGGTGAAATGCTGACTCATTTCCAGTGGCGGTTCTAGACCAATTTGACTGGGGGGCCACTGGGGGGGCCAGATATTTTCTGAGGGGGGCACAATAAATGCAGGACGAAAAAGAGAACTAGACAGTATGAAGTAATTGCGCATAAGAAAACAATGCAATACAGTTATTGGTATTTGTTTCAGTACACTTATTTATTTCAGATAGATCTTATAGTTATTACTGTTAGCTTCAGCTTAAGTTATAGTGCAATATTTGCACTAACACCATATTTATATGAAAATGAAGGCAATGAACAGTTACATCTCTACTTTACATAATAGTGTCTGCATAATCTCACATTACAGCAACAAAATCCTGCGGTTTTTGGCAAACCGAGTACCAGAAAATATACATTTAAAAACAAATAAATAAAAAACGTTTCATTGTTAGGGGGGGCCACAGGGGTCAGTGTTAGGGGGGCACTAGAACCGCCCCTGCTCATTTCCGTCGGTAAATAAAAATAGATGTTAGTTCTGAAAACTCCAGACTCATTCCCCGGTTATTGGACTCATTCCTGCACTCTGTAGTGCTCCAGTGAAGCTCTTGCTTGTTTTTGTTGTGTGATAAAGGAAAAAGCACTAGACAAACACGACATAATTTGGTAAAAAGATTAAAGCTTATATTGATGAATCAATATTTTATATTTCACTGCAGTTTACACGAATTTGGGTCTTCTCCTTCTCTTCTCGTCTTGCTTATTCCTCTTTAAATTGTATTGGCTACACACCCTTGTTTTCCACTGTCTCTTTTCCAGCCATCCATCAGCAATCGATACAATTCTATTCTGAGCCCGGCTTCAGCTCGGTGGAAAACCAAACATCACAAACACACACACATACAAACACACAAACACACACACACACACACACACACACACACACACACACACATACACACACACACACACACACACACACACACACACACACACACACACACACACAAAGAGAGAGGCGCCGTGCAACAGAGAAACACAGGAATCACTCTGAGGAGATGCAGTCTGGAGAACGGACACAGGGTGGCGCTGTTCGATCAGAGACAGTAAACCTCTGTACCATCAGACACAACAAACATCTGTTCGATCAGACACAACAAACATCTGTTCGATCAGACACAACAAACATCTGTTCGATCAGACACAACAAACTTCTGATAGAATAGAATATATCTTAATACAAAGTACAACAACTCTCACTGCAGTAAAAAATAGACTAAATAAATAAATAAGAGTGATAAAAGCAGAAGTAGTAGTGATGACAGTGCAACGAGATAACATTTCAAGGTCAATGTGCATATTTACACTTACAGTCTAAATATATAATAGTAAAATAGCCATAAGTATTTCTAATCATGTCCCAACATCAGGGCAACGACACACGTTTGGTTCCCTTCCCTACAACATTTTTGAGTCCAATGAAACACAACAGAGAAAGAGGAAAAGAAAGACATACATGGAAAAACCTTAAAGGTCACTCATCATGCTATTTTTAGGCAATAGCATAGGCCTCAGATATACAAATATATAAAAAACATGTCTATGAAGTTTTGTGCTCAAAATACCAAACAGATCACCCATTCTAGCCATGCCTCATATCCCTCTATTTCACTTCCTGTTTCAAAAGTGCTGATTCGGGTATAAAGCTTTAAAAAAGGAGGGGTCTGAGCTCATGCGGGACCCAGCAGCTACTGTCTAAACTAAATGCTGCCGTGATGAAACGCCATATCATGGATCATCAAGGATTGTTTCTGAAACAGTATGGAGCTCAAAGGCTTTCTCTCTTGCTGGTTATACCACAAGGTGAGTTTCTTTTTACTTCCTGCTTCTTCACACACATGCTCTCCAGTACAGGTTAGCTCTGAGTGTTAGCGATGCTAATGTAAACACCGACCATATTACGTCCAGAACAGTCGGGCATTGTTTCTGATAGCAACGTTTCTGATTGGGCCGTGGGTCCACATTTCAGATGTTACGTCATATCGGACGCAAATCTGGATCAGCTCCGTTGTTCCCCGTTTTTAGAGATTTGGGTACGGAGGAAAAGAGAGAGGGTTTTATTTTCTGACGCTGCGTGAGTTCCCCGACACACCGGGGACACATGGTTATGTAGAGAAGACATCACAAGGGGCATTTTCCATGATAGGTCCCCTTTAAATGGACTGTAACCAAGAACAGTAACTTAAGCACTATAAAGTCGTGTTATGTGCATGACTTTTACTTCACTAACGTATTTTAATGTTATGCTTCTTTATTCTTCTAATCCTCTACATTTCAGAGGTATTTCAGAGTATACTTTTTACTACACCACTTTTATTTTACTGCTCTTTGCAGATATCCAATACAAAATCAAGTAAAAAAGTATTATATATACTCATAGATTAACCTCGCAGTAGCCTATACAATTAAATGAAAATTAGCCTAACTTTAACCAGAGCATTGAAGTAATACACACATACTGTATATGCATCACTAATTATAATCCAGTTATATAACAAATATTATTCTGTCAGATTTAAAGTTATGTCCAAATCTCCAAAATGACATTGCATTCATTTGACAGATTCAGATGATCCTTTTTTTAGTTGTGAGGATATTTAGTAAAAGTTTGAAATCAATCTTTAACAGCACTGACAGGCGGTTCAGTGAAGCTAATATTCAGTAACAGTGAACATCTGGTCCCGGCTGTTCAGACAAACTGTAGATAATTAGGGAGTTAAACTAACCATGAACACGTCCTTGTGTTTGACGGATACATTCATTTGTAAACCTTCACATGACAACAAACCACAAAGACATTCGGCTGCTGTGAGCCCTGCACCGTGCTGCATTCAGGGAACATCAGTGAGGACAGCTAATGGCTCTGTGGGAAACTCGACCTTTAAAATGAAGGTTACATCCATTATCGGCTACCTTTAGGCTAGTTTAACTCCCGACTGCCTACTCACTCTCTTCCTCTCTGATATATCTCCAACTCACACTCGTTTTACCTTCCTTCCATCACTGTTCACGTTACATCCCAACCACTATAGATGACTTATACCTCACGTGAAATGCGAGAGCTTCTCGAAGGGTCCAGAGTTGGGAAATGGTTCTTCCTATTTTTCTGTGTTCATGTGCTCAAAGTTGTAAGAAATACTTAAAAAATTATATAGGTGTTTCTTCTACTGTCTATTGTGCCAATTTCTCCAAAATGCACGAGTGGGTGTAAGATAATGCATCATTTGCATATTCAAACAGGAACTTAAAGAGTATTTGCAATATAAAAGATAGCTTTCTTAAGTTGGGGAAGTTTCATGATGATATACATTAATTAAAAATGTGACCCTATTCACTACGTGTGTCCACTTCATCTCACTTGTTTGATTAAAATAAGTATTTGAATATACCTCCAGAATAAATGGCTCATCACATTGGTTTGTATTTTTGCTGTGTACTCACAGTGCGCCTGAATGTCCCATGAGAGTCCTGGGTAAATTGCACTGTCAACAAGGGACAGCAAGAGGGTGGAGGCGGGGCCTTGCTGCATAAGGAAGCAGGGCTGTGATTGGTCAGCAGGAGGACAGAGCTGAGAGGGTGATTGAATGGGACAGAGAGGGAGGGGGGGTCACAGAGTGGGGAGAGAGAAAGAAATAGTGAGATAGCAGCAGATGGACTGTAGCCTAACAACGGATATACTGTGTGTGTGACAGTGTGTGTGAGAGAGTGGTTGTGAATGAGTAGCAGCAATCTTCTTTCATGTCCTCTGGATTTGCACGCAGTGAGTAATAATCCTCTGGAGGGAGGAAAGGGATACAGACAAGCGAAAAGGAGGCAGAGTGAACACTTGCTCTTCACACTTCACAAGCCCAGCAAACTCTTCCCACCCTGTCATCAATGCACAGGACAGGAGGGGCTCCATAAATGCTTCGGACTGTAGAGGGACACTGCCTTTCTTGATTTTGCAGAACAAGATCATTGTGTAAGCTAGAGGAGTCAGGATAGGTGAGAAAGGGAACCTTTGGGAGCACAGGGACGGGGGGTTCTCTCTGGTGAAGATGAGTCTGGACCCTGTGCAGGTGATGAGCGGACAGGTCAAGGAACTCAAAGTTGGCCCTTCGTCCAACGGGGACAGCAGAGGATCATGGGAAGAGAAAGAAGAAATTGACCAGGATAACGTGGGCCTCACCACAAAGCCAAAACCAGTAAGTTTGATTCAATTACAACTTAATCTCTGACTGTCTTTGTTAGTGATCTGGGTTTATTCGAGGCCAATGCCTGGAGCCTTTTGGTGCAAAGGTCAACAAATGTCCCCAAAAATGTCTCCATAAAAGACCACTCTGTCTCTGTCCTGTCTTTTCCTCTATCCTGCTGCTGCTACCCCGGCTTAGCCTTAGAGTCAGATGTTTACGTTGCGCACGTGCAGATTCAAGTTTAAATCATGAATGGGGGGCTTGAGTTAAGGTCACAGAGTTTGGTATCAAACTTCTACCATTCTAGCAAGAGATGAATTATCAGCAGTGAACACTCTTCAAACCTCATTAATGTCAAAGTAATCATAAGTTATAAGCCTCATAAGTAATAAGGCGATGCTCATACGCTTACCTACATAATAATTGTTCAAAGGACTTTGGGCTAAAGGCTCAGTCACATCAGATTTTGTCCAATGAATTACACCATTTGCAATAAGGGTTAGAATAGGATGACAGTACTCTAAAATATAAGTATGCAACTTAATTTATAGCAGATAAATAAAACTACGTAAATGAGGAATGCATGAAATATGACTGCATGCCCCGGCTCTGCTTCTGAGAAACGTCTCTACTTGAAACCGTGCCGACATTAGACTCACTCGGTGTTGTGTATTGCATCACAGGAGCTCAACATACTGTACAGGTCAGAGTGTGCAGACAGTGAACCTGCTTTAAGTGACTCTGAAACAGCAATTACTGTTGGAGAGCAGAACAGAGGGCAGACGAGCTAAAAGAAGCTAAAATCTGAGTAATATCCGCTCGTTGAGGATTAGTGCAGTGGTGTATTTTCCGACTGTCAAAAGCATTAGTGTTTAATGCAATCCGATTATTAATTTCTGGGAAACAGATTATTACATTACATGTCATTTGTTAGATTATTAGAAAGCAATATGACGGTTATAACTGATCATTATATGTTGTTGTTGTTGTTGTTGTTGTTGTTGTTGAGTACAAAACATATCACCACATGAAACTGGATGTTTCTTAACATGGTAAAAATAGTATTTTTAACATTGAAATAAACATTAGATTTGTACCATGTTGTTGATGTTCAGATATCTCTGTAAATGCTAAATGTGTCCTAAAAGTTATGTATCTATCTTAACATGTATAGTTTATTTTATTAAACTATTTGAACATTTGGTAGGCTTTATATTTCTATTGTTACACTTCACAAAAAGACACATATTGAACTCAACATTTTTTTAATTTCTACATTGATTTTAGAATAATTTGATTTCAAGCTGTCTCAAAATTCAAGTAATAATGTTACCCTAGTTATACTTTTCCATGGTTGGAAACATCCTTATGCATAATTGGCTAAGAAGGAGAATGACAATGGCCATTTAATTAATATTAAATGGCCAGTTCTAAGTAGCGTTATAATTTAATGTAGCCATTAAATCCGAGCGTGAGAACCGAGAGAGGAAATTGTTTTAGTAGCTCTAGGTGAGACAAAAATGTGGGCTTAAATCTACGATCCTTAACGACGATGATGAAGTGGTTCAAAGAAAAAACGAAATCTTGCTTTTTTGTCTGAAAAAACACAATAGCAACTGTGCAAGGAATAGCCTTGTTGTGTTTATATGGCGCACATGTTAGCATGCCAGCTAACTCTTTACTTCCTACAGTGGTAACCTGACCAATAACTAAAAACAACTTTGAGTATGGTTGCAGGTTATGTTTAAAATGTTGTTTTCATAAATGGCAAGTCAGCTGTATTTCTCCACTGTGCGTAAACCGAGATGGCAAGCTATTAAAATGTAGCGGCTACACATGGGGAAGTTTACACTCCTGCAGCCCCAGCCAAGTGTTATTTGAGATCAACATCTCTACAACTTCTCCGTTAGTCTCCTGAAAGCTTGTTCTGATTTGTTTAAACCGTAAGTTAAATGTTAAAAAATATGAAACAATGATATCCTCTTTCCGGCAGTGGCTCAGTCAGTAGGGGCTTGGACTGTGAGCCGTAGGGTTGCCGGATCAAGTCCCCGACCAGACCTAAAATATGGAGTGTGGACTGCTACTTGGAGAGGTCCCAGTCATACTTGCCAACCCTCCCGATTTTCGCGGGATACTCCCGATTTCATAGCCCTCTCCCGGTTTCCGACAAAATCAGATTTACACACGACTGTTTCCACTCGGACTTTATTACAGCTACACCATTGTTTGGTTTCCATGGCAGCGCGTCTCTTTAGTAGCGTGCGCAACTAGATAGTCACAGAAAAACAGAACAAGGATAGACAACTCGACCCTCTGTTCACTCCTTTCCTGGTCCAGCCCATCAAGAGGATGGTGCTACAGGCCGCAAGGCATTGCACTCAGAACTACAATAAGCACATTAATGTTAATCTAACAGCTCCGTTGATCCACTAGCACCCCCCCCCCACCCGCGGTGGTTTTGAAATGCTCCCGATTTCTGAGGTCTCAAGGTTGGCAAGTGTGGTCCCAGTTCACCTCCTGCCACTCACATTGCTCCCCGGGCGCTGTACAGTAGCTGGCTCTTAGTACTAGTTTCCTGGTGCTAGGATGGGTTAAATGCAGAGAACACATGTCACTGTGTGTGCTGTGTGCTCTGCATGTGTGACCATTAAAGAGGGGTTCATCCCTCCCATTCTATTCTATTGTGTAGGCAAAGTATGTAGCCTTAAGCTAACGTGAAGCAGTAGTCTGATTTTACATTATACTTATTCATACTTTATCCTACTCTGTTGTACAAAAAAGGATTATTCTTTAGTCCTATGTTTCCTAAATAGATCACTGTTAGCTTATATAACTATCTAGCTAAAGCTCCAGCTGCAACAGTGTCATTTCAGGATAGGCTGTTCTCATTCTTTGAACTAGACTTTTGAGTGTTACAAATGGCCTTGATGTAAATCACATTCATTTAGTGTGTAATTCAGTTAGTAATAAGACAACAGTTCTGTCATCTTTCTTAGTATTAGGTGAGGTTTAGATTATTGTCCTTTGAATGCTTGTAAAGTACCAATGTTTTTGAATAATTTAAAGCAATCTTTCAAAAATATGTGAATACATATGAAACAACACCTTGGACACTTCATATTTTCTCAATAAGACAAACAAAACACCGACCAAAAACTGTATACACTAAACATGTAAACAAACAAGTTCACTTCCAGGGTCTCCGTCATTCCCTGACTCATTTCTGATTAAAATATTTACGTAATTTCAGACAAGCAAGTACGTAGCTGTTTCTGGAAGAGTGGGCAGTCACTCCAGTAATACTATATCTGCCAAGGCCTCAACAGACTGCATCATCTCTGGCCTTTTACCTATCTATAAATATCAGGCCCCCTGCCTCTGCTGCTCACCCTCCACCCTCACTCTCTGCTCACACTTTCACCTCTTGGTTTTTCCCACTGCTACTGCTACTGTTCTGTCTCCGTCTGCTGTCTGGAAATCCCTCTCACTTCTCTTTTCATTCTCACTTGAATGGAAGGGATGTCTCACCACCTCAGATATGTAATGCCAGACAGATGACTCGCAGATCTCTGCTATACACTTGTACCAGACCTGCTGATCTGGCAGAGCTCTGATAAGATTAATACAGAGGATTGGAGGGAGAAGGAGGGGGAAGGTCCAACATAATTTCCTTTTTTATGCTTTATTGGACCATAAATCGTGCTGTAATCCATAGGTGCAACATGAAATATACACCTATAGGTTGAGTCTTCATTCCCAGTAGGTTTAATCTTATCCACTTTCGTTTACCATCACTCAAATCAATGAGTATGAGGTGATTATGGTGGGTTCCCATGCAGAGGAATCTTTTTTAATGATGCATTCTCAGTGGGTAAGAGGCCTGCTGAGAGAGGGCAGGCAGTTAACACTTCCAGTATCGAATCGCAGCAAAGAACCAGCCTCTGGGATCACTCCCAGACAGTGTGACATGTTATTCATAGAGTAAACCGACTCTACTGGATAAGCTGCACCAAAGGTCTCTGACTGAGAGGCACAAATAGAGAAACCCATGTGTAACCACTGCAAACAATACAGACCTGTTTAATGCAACTATCTGTGTTGAAAAACCTGATTTCAGTATTAAGTATTGTTTACAAAATATCAATTTTAACTACGTAAAATGGAAAGATTCAATCCAAAGTCAATTCCAATCATGTCATTTTGGGTGGATTTTGGGATGGGATGTTTTGTCAATGATAATGGTAAATGGATTTTCTCTGAATACCCGATAATCAAAAACAAACTGTCATTTTGCTAAGGTGACAGGGAGGCGCACCCGGAAGGTGGAGGGAGGCGTGTTTTTTGTAAGTATGTCCAATCATCATGTGAGGTCAAAAGTTGTGTCCTTGGCTACTGAATGACCATCACCACCACCCTTTCACTTTGTTTTGACCTCCTCTGTGATGGCTGTCGTTGTGCCGCATGATCATGGACACACCCACTCTACTAACCAACAACCTGCCCTGATGCATCGTCACGTGTGCTCTCATGTTGATTCATCCTTTACCAGATAGTCACTGGCTGGACTGAGCTAATAGACCAGCATGCTTTGGACTAATTACTATGGCCACAGGGTGCTACGACTCATGGAACGCATGCTCATTATTAGTTGACATATTATAAGAAAATGAAAATGTTTCCAATTGTTGTTTTCAGAGAACATCAACTGGATATTGGTTAAATGTTTCAAATGTAAAAAAAATATGCTTTTGGTCATATTTGTGGATCCTATAAGTTGAAATCCTCTGCTTGAGTGATTCCCATGGCAATAGTTGACTGCTATTTGAGGGACAGCAATAAAACCAAAGCCTTGTAAAGGCTTTTGATAAGCAACAACAAAAGCGTAAGGGAACAAAGCACAAGACTTAAAGGTTACCTATTATGCAAAATCACTTCTATGTCTAATCAACATGCTCATCTTGTGTCCCCTCTTCTTCATGTCTCTTCTACATCAACATGTGTCCCCTCTTCTTCATGTCTCTTCTACATCAACATGTGTCCCCTCTTCTTCATGTCTCTTCTACATCAACATGTGTCCCCTCTTCTTCATGTCTCTTCTACATCAGCATGTGTCCCTCTTCTTGATGTCTCTTCTACATCAACATGTGTCCCCTCTTCTTCATGTCTCTTCTACATAACATGTGTCCCCTCTTCTTCATGTCTCTTCTACATCAACATGTGTCCCCTCTTCTTCATGTCTTTCTACATCAAACATGTGTCCCCTCTTCTTCATGTCTCTTCTACATCAACATGTGTCCCCTCTTCTTCATGTCTCTTCACATCACCATGTGTCCCCTCTTCTTCAGTCTCTTCTACATCAACAAGTGTCCCCTCTTCTTCATGTCTCTTCTACATCAACATGTGTCCCCTCTTCTTCATGTCTCTTCTACATCAACATGTGTCCCCTCTTCTTCATGTCTCTTCTACAGCAACATGTGTCCCCTCTTCTTCATGTCTCTTCTACATCAACATGTGTCCCCTCTGTGTAAAGAGATTCTGAAAGTTTCAGGAAAAAAGATTCTCTCTCTTTTTGTCCTGATCCATTTATATAAAAACTTGTCTGAAAATGAGCTGATCAGATTTTGGCCACTTTATGATGTCATAACGATGTTTTTGACCCCCCCCCCCCCCCCCTTATCACCTGAATCTCCTCCTAGAGCACCATTGAGTTCTTTGTAACCAAATCTCTCTCAGAGGGGCGTGGGGAGGGGCTCCTTATTTTCATCTAAAGTAACAGACAGAGAATCAGCACTTTGGAAACAGGGCTGAAACAGAGGGGATTATGGGTAATGCTGCAATGATCTGTTTGCCAAACACTTCAGAGACATGTTTTGTATATATCTGAGACCTGTGATGTATTGTTGAAGAACAGTATAATAGGGGATCTGTAAAGGAACGAGATGATAGGGCCAATGGAAGAAGCAGGTCTGGATGGAAACCAGTGTGACGGGAGCCCTCTGGAGGACAAGCAAGATGACCAGTTGTCTTGAGGACCTCTAGAAGACGACCAGAGAGATAAGGACATGGGAAGGGCAGCTCAGGAGATTGACAACAATGGCGGAGTCCCCTCAGGAAGTTGAAGACAGAGATGGGTCCAATCTGAAAGGCAGCCTAGAGTTCTACAACTGGGACAGGACCGCTCTCTAGGACACAGATGGTGATGGGACCCTCCTAGAGGATGGACTCAGAGATGGGACCCCACTGGAAAATGGCTATGGAGAAGGGACCTCTCTTGAGGACAACAAAGAACTTGAAGTCGCAAACAGGATCTAGAAATTGAAGATTGGGTACTGGTTCGGACCAGTAGATAACCGAGTAGGAGGCAGGAATTTTGGCAACAATACGCAAATACAAACCCTGTAAAAACGAGAGGCAAAGCAATGGTTATGCACCGTTAGCGTTTTAGACTTCAGTTCCTTCAGGGGTGTCAAACTCAAATACACAGTGGGCCAAGATTAAAAAATGGGTGCTAGTCGAGGGCCGGACTGGTTCAATGTTTATTGCAGAACTTATTGAAATGAACTTATTGCACATATTAAACCTGGAACTAACAACGTTTCAATGATTGCCTATAAAAACAACATTAAACATTAAATAATCAGCTGCATTCATTTCTTATGGCTCTATCTGCAGCTTTTCCAGACTCATTTCTTATGATTTCCCACAGGCCAACAACAGCTTCAAAAAACAATTTCCCTCAAAGGAAAAAATAAACATGCCCTGTTGTCTCAAGAAAGAAAGTGCAGAAGGAAACATCCATTAAACTCAGGTTGCTGCTCTGTGATGCTAGTTCAAGCAGATACTTGGCATCTCATCTTGGGTGCAAGTTCATCAATGTTTGGGCTCAGGCTCTGAGCGGAGGAGACCCTCAGGATGGAGTGAAGGTGTGCGTGCAATATACCGGCGGGCCAGATCTAATAGTGATTAGAAATTATCCTGCGGGCCGAAATTAAATCCACCAAGGGCCTGATTTGGCCCCCGGGCCTCGAGTTTGCCACATGTGCTTTATAGCATTGGGCCAATTGTGCTTTTAACCAATTGTACACATTTCATTACAGTTACTAAAATGTAAGCCAAAAATCGATGCAATCTAGCCTCTTTTCAGAAAGCAACAGCAAGCTGACCTAGTTCGCTATGGTAACCACTCATTTCCAGTTAAAAAGCAGTTTTCCTGACTTCCGGAAGTTTGATCAAACTGAAAAAGTTATTATTAAATGAGTAAAAGAAGGCAAAGCTCCATATGTGTGTGTTTTTAAACATCCTGAGTATTCATCTAATTATTTCCTGACCAATTGCAGCCTTCACATGCACCCTGAGGAGCAGTGGTTCCCAACCTGGGGGGCGCCAACGATCGCAGGGGGGGGGGGCGGCTGGGGGGGGGGGGGGGGGGGGGCCTCAGATGATTTGAGGCCAAATATCATATTTAGACTTTTTTTTTATTTATTTTTTTACATATAATTGTAACGCAATACATGATTGTCGCTAAAAGACTTGTCTCTACATTACAATACAATATAAAAAATAATTGATTAATTAATTTGAATACAAATTCAAGTTATTATTAAAGGCATAAAAAGACAGAAATGTATAATTCTTTCTTTGATAGAAATGTTTCTTCTGCCCGTAAAGTGTCCAAACCAGGCTTTGCTGGATAAGCGCATTTTTAAAACATAGTCATTGTCCATGCCGGTTTCAGTTGGATTATTTGTCACAGTTCAGATCGGTCTCCTCCATTTTGATTATTTACGACTTTTGAATCCACATAAACACATCGGCTAAATCCGGCTTACTTTGAGCATGTGTTTTAAACCGTTTAATCCCTTTGTGAATTGGTTCCACTTGCGCCGTCCTTTCATTTCTTCATACAGCGGGAATCCAAATGAATTAATCCTGAGTCCAATAACCATCAAAATCACTCCAATAGTGCTCCTTAATTACGCTTTCATCCTCCTTTAACAAAATACTTCACATTCATCCAGTTTGTGACAGTAGTTGAGTGTGTGTGTGTGTGTGGGGGGGGGGGGGTGGCCCTTCCAACAGGAGTCATTTGGGGGGGGCGGCCCTTCCAACAGGAGTCATTTGGGGGGGGGGCGGCCTTTCCAACAGGAGTCATTTGGGGGGGCTCTTGGGAAAAAAGGTTGGGAACCCCTGCTGAGGAGGATCGCTCTCTCTCTCTTTCTCTCTGGTGACAACATAAAGCTATTCTTATCAGTGTGGTAAAAACATTACCTTTACAAACGCTTGTATTTGGACACATTGCGATGTGTATTCACAGACTTCAGGCAGACGACGTGTGTCTTTAGCCAAGTGTCGAGTCAAATTGATTGAGTCTAACTGTTACATTCAAAACATATGTGCATTGTACCGACATAAGATACCACTCATATCATTCAAAAGTATTGTGTATATGTGTAAGAACATTCATTACAATGACTTTCATAAGCATATAAATACTTTTTGCTGACAGTGCTTTCATCTGACTTTAATCTGATTAAGATGTGGGGCAGGATTAGTCTTGAAGTGACGTGTGTTTGTGCGTGTGTGTGTATACATATTTGTGTGTTTGTATACGTGTGTGTAAGAACGTGCTTTAGGTAAGTAGGTGACAAGTCAGCAGGCAGTGCTGCTGCGTTGGAATAAATAGAGGGACAGTGAATCAGTGCCCTTGTGAGCGTATTAACCAGCATAGGGGAATGGACCCTAACATGCATGTGGTTCATAACACATATTCCTTCTCCCACAACAAACACACAGAGTGGATGTACACACAATGTTTTTTTCGATAACCATGTTGTGCTACTATGCAATAGTTCATGATATCATTACTGGCAGAATGCATTATTTAGACCCAACAAAAATAGGCTTGCACCTAAATGTATGTGTAACTCAACCACACATTTAGGCAAAGTTGCTACAATGCTCACACATAAGGACTTTAACATGCACATAATTGTACTTAAATTATTTGTTTTTGGTTAGTCTCAACTGTCTTCCCATCAGTCCGGCATCACCTGAGGTCAGCTGCCCACTTCAGGCACTAATACCGGCTGCCCCCATAAGTATGCAAAGCTCCCCTTTCAAACACTAGCACCCAAATGTAAACACACACGTTAGGAAACATGGGGCCACTGTGCCATCTGTTTATTGGGGCAGCATAGTATTCAATAAGAATCACGTACACACATACACACTGACACACCAACACAGCAGACAGCTCCAAAAGTATCACACAGGGTTCTGTTATTGCATGTTGCTTTGGTCGAAGCACACTCACCAGTTGACATACATATCATAATCTCCTGTCGACATATCACCTTCTGCAGTTACCGTCAGTTTAAGCCTCTTGTAAAATAGTAAAAGTCACCCTTGTAAACGCATGTGCTTGTAAACATTTAAGGTCCCATGTCATGGCCATTTCTACTGATCATAATTCCATCGCTGAGGTCTACTAGAATAAATGCATATTGTGCAATTTTCCAAACTCACATGGGTTAGGGTTAGGGGAGGGTTCTACAGCATCTCTGTATAGTATGTGTATTCACTCTGTCCTAAATGGCTTGTTGGAGCTCCTGCCCCCCCCCCCCTCCCTCCCTGTGAGCCCAGTGGCCGTCTGAGACACAGCGAAACCCAGCCCGAAACACACACACACCCGCAGCCAGGCTGGGTTCCACGGTGTCTCGCTGACCCCAGTGAGCCAGCTCACAGTGTCCCGCTCCTCGCAGCAGCGAGCCTCGCAAAGTCCCGCCGTGTGTGTGTGTGTGAGGAAGTCCGTGGATTGGTCCAAACGTAACGGCTCCGCAGACGTAACGTAACGGCTCCGTGGATTGGTCAGCCGTTACGTTACGTCACTATACCCGAAATACGTCACTATACCCAAGAAGTAAACAATGGAAAAAGAGAAATCTCCAACGAGGCGTTCTGGGGCAGCATAGACAGGTCTTTCTGTATTAGAGTTTTACTCGCTACAGGGTGTACTTTGAAGGTTTGTGACTCTGCAGACCGTTTACATGCAGAAAAACCTTCATAACTCACAAGGGGACGGGTAACAACCAGAAAAGCATGTCATGGGACCTTTAAAGTATTATTAGCAGAGTTTGAGGGTCACTTTTGTCCCATAGGTAAAAATAGGCTCATTCAGTCCTTCCACCTCTCCTCCCCCTGTGTTTACAAGCATCGTCGCAATGATTAATTAATGCTCGCTCATCTTTAATCTCTTTCTCTGTTACCTTCTTCTCAAACCTTTTTCTCTCTTGTCTTTTTTTCTGCAGCCAAAACCAGAAAACGCAGTGACCGTTGCCGTCTCTTCTCGAGTCTTGTTTCGGACCGAGAGGGAGCAGAAGGTGTTTGAGCAGGACGGCGTAGAGGAGTATCTGAGGTTCCAAATCGAACATGAGAACGAGCCCTTCACCCCTGGACCTGCTTTCCCCTTCGTCAAGGTTAAAGTCGCCCAAACACACACTTAACAGAGGCTTTGTTCTGTCCCAAGCTTCCTTACTGACTGCTTCTGTGTCCTTAAAGGCTCTGGAGGCGGTGAACTGTCGTCTTCGGGAGCTGTACCCACAAAGTGAAGAGCTGTTCGATATTGTTTTGGTGACGTACAACCATGCCCACGTTGGAATCCGGCTCATCAACACCATCAACCATCACAGTAAGTCGTGCAGAGATCAGATTATAAAGTGGCTCCAAGCTGAGAAAACAGGTGCTTTACAGCCAACATCTTCTTCAGAGTTAGACAGCAATGGCGGTAACACATCAGGTGAATTTAGCAACTTTGGAGCACTATAAAAGTATACAATGTGGGAACAAGAATATTGGCTTTAACATAGATTCCTATCATCAGGTGACATCCTGTTGATAGGTTAGTAAAGTATCACATTTCAGACACCCACACAGACACTTAAAGTTCAGTTTGACAAGACCATTATCTTAATCTCCATGTAACCAAACTAAATATATAACCAGGACGGTCAAATTCTATCTAATTTGGTGGATGACATCTATTTTAAGACTATAAGAAGTCAAGTTAAAAGTCAAAATTGGCACATAATGGTTACAAATTGCACAAACTGTTTCCCAGTAATGCACATCCCAACATTACATAAATGGCCATTAATGTATGTTATGATTTCTATAGTGTTGAATTGAATCATTTCGACTTAAGGAAAGCAAATGAAGACTTTAAGAAGGAAGACTTTGCTTTAACGAGATACTGAAGCTGACACAAGCTGCGCTGAGACAAACATCAAAGTGTATGAACAGCTGATGCTTCCCAGGGACATCTCAGACCCTGTGGTGACATCTTCCTGTTCAGCTTCTCAAATGTTTTTCATGCGCTTGGAGCTTCAGACTGAGTTCAAGTTTACGTCCACTGGGATGTAAGAATAATTCAAGAGGCCCAAAACAAAAACAGGTCCGGACGGAGCCACAAAAGCGAGGCTTGGCCTCCCAGATGCTTCCACGTTAGATCTCTCTGATGGTTCTCTGCGTGAACGGCCCAATGCGTTCAACCTCTGACCTTTACGGCATAACTTAAGGAAAACATGGCTGCTCTGATGTCACAGAGTTAAAGGTTTGTTGCAAAGGGTATCCACAGTTGACATAGTCATAAACAATGATTGAGAAAGAAACACTTACCCTGCTCCTTAGCTGTTTAAAGCTGAATCTGGGCTCTTAAGGAAACATTAGGATACTAATTGATTTATCATCACCGGTTTACATTTGATATTTTGGTAATGAGGTTTAACATTTCTCTCTTCCACTTGGGGGGAACTTAACTGTTGGCGATGAAAGCATATATGCTCGCCAACATTTACATGCCTCTACTTTGCATTTATACAACACACCGTAGGAGGACCCAAGAGCCACAATGACTGGCAGGTCCTATAAGGTGCTCCGTGTGCGGCGAATTAAAATGTTATGAGATGACATTAGGGTTCTCCGTGGAAATCAAAAATTGGAGCACAACATGACATCCCACATCTAAACGGCACAATGAAGCAAATCATTCTTTGATGTGTCTGAAGTCTCTCTGCATTCCTGCTGGTTTCCGGCCGTCCTATTACCATGTTTTAGATCTTCTGAACAAGCAAATAAATCATAAGAGGATAAGTGATAAGAAAATATTTTTGAAAGGGGAGAAAAAAACATACAAAGACATCGACTTTCGGGACATTTCCCACAAAGTGACTCCCACGCACCCGTTTGAAAGGCAGCGGACGCTTGGGAAGGTTGAAATGATGGGTAGCACAGGGGCCAACATCACCAGGGCCTGACTACAAAGCTAAATAAACTTTTAAGGAAATCTGTAGAAGACAGAGGGTTCTTTGAACTCTGTTTATTTCAATTGCTTAGTGTCTATTTTCCTCTGTCTCCATCCGGTGTCTTTGTTTCGACAACTTTGAAATATATTGCAAAAAATGTGCTCTAGTGCAGTGGTTCCCAACCTTTTCTCCCAAGAGCCCCCCCAAATGACTCCTGTTGGAAGTTGCGCCCCTCCCTGCCCCACACACACACAAGGGGGGGGGGGCGCAACAGCGGTAATTAAAGTCTCAAAATGCTACAACTACTGTCACAAACTGGATGAATGTGAAGTATTTTGTTAAAGGAGGATGAAAGCGTAATCAAGGAGCACTGTTGGAGTGATTTTGATGGTTATTGGACTCAGGATTAATTCATTTGGATTCCCGCTGAATGAAGAAATTAAAGGACGGCGGAAGTGGAAACAATTCACAAAGGGATTAAACGGTTTAAAACACATGCTCAAAGTAAGCTGGATTTTGCCTATGTGTTTATGTGGATTCAAAAGTCGTAAATAATCTACAAAATGGAGGAGACCGATCTGATCGGAGCAACTGTGACAAATAATCCAACTGAAACCGGCATGGACAATGACTATGTTTTAAAAATGCGCTTATCCAGAAAAGCCTGGTTTGGACACTTTACGGGCGGAAGAAACATTTCTATCAAAGAAAGAATTATACATTTCTGTCTTTTTGTGTCTTTAATACTAACTTGAATTTTTATTCAAATGAATTAATCAATTATTTTTTATATTTTATTGTAATGAAGAGACAACGCTTTTAGTGACAATCATGTATTGCGTTACAATTATATGTAAAAAAAAAATTAAAAAAAAGTCCCAGGTTGGGAACCACTGCTCTATTGCATACGTACAAATATAACCAAAGCTACCCTTTACCACCCTGATGTGGGTAGAATGAGTTAAAAGTTAGAAAAAGGTACCCAATAGCAATACAACGGCAATACCCTATTGTCCAGAACTTCCACATGTAAAAGCTAGGTTCAATACTTAATGCAAACCAGACATTTGTTTAGATGAAAATATCTCAGATGTTTCTTTAATTCGATGAATCATACAGTTTTTCACAGAGACAATTGTCAATGTCAATGATGGATCGAATAAACACAGGACTTTCATCAAGGAGTCAATGTTGAGGTAGTTTTACTCAGTAACGAAGGCAAATAACTTAACATATCTCACACCTTCTAAATTACATTAAATGCGTGATTATTTGAACTCAAAACATAATCTCTTCCTAAACCTTAAGGTGTTTAAACTGCTCGCATTTCAAAGAGCATCTTTCGCTGGTACTCGCCAATATGTAAATTAGGGAGTCATTGGCGAACTAAATATTCACTCTTTTAGGCATGAGGACAGGTTCGTTCAATCTGGGGCAGCAGATTTTTTTTATTTTATAATTTAGTTATTGGTTGCAGCACGTAGGATGGAAAAGCCTGTATATCTTCTTCTGCACCGATTTTGACCATGACTCTATATTTTTTAAAATGCATATCTCTTTAGTTCCTTATCCTTAAGGCCATGCAGTATAAAGTGAAATAAGTCTAAGACACGTTTCTTGCCTGCTGCAGTTTTAAATAAATGCCTTTACCTTGCCATCTTGACACCACTCTCCGTTCCACATTAACCTTCTCTCTTACTATATTTCCATCAATCTTAGATGTCACCTATTCATTCACACTTTATTATAACCCTCAATCTTCTCCTCTCAAACTCATTCTTTCACATCACCGACCCTACAGTACTTTACCTCATAAATACCAGCTCATTTCACCTGAACAGCTTTGTAATCATGGATCTTATTACCTAATATCATTCTTCGCTCGTTCTCCGCGTACCATCGCTCCACTGCTCTTTGGATCAGTTTTCAGCAGCTGAATTAAGCCTCTGCATCAGCCAAAATGCAAACAGACACCACCGGTAGTCATTCCCCAGCAGACCTCTCTTTCCCCTTATTTGACCCCTCTTTGGATCCTCTCCAAGCACTTATACGTTTTTCCTTTCACCCTGAACCAGAAAAACCTCTCTACTCGACCGCCATGATTCCAAGAATTCACGTCAGATTAAAAAGCTACAGTTCTCTGTTCTGTTTTTGTGACTTTCTTCTGTGTCTTAAGGTGTAAAGACACACATAAATACACGTATCAATGTTGTAATGGGTCTGTACTGCTGCCGATGTAACACATTGTACTGTATGTAGACATTTGACGATGCACTGAAATGAAAAACCTTGTTGTTGTTTGCGTCTCTTGTTCCCAGACTTGTTTATCGAGAGGTTTTGTATGACGGGGGGAAGCAGTCCCATCGGCTACCTGAAGGCCTGGCAAACCAACCTCTACCTGTCTGCAGACGCCGACAAGGTCAGGGAGGCGCTGTCTGAAGGTGAGAAACGTAAAAATCATAGAATAAAAACACACATTTGTACACGTAAGGCAAGGCAAGTTTATTTATATAGCACCTTTCAACACAAGGCAATTCAAAGTGCTTTACAAAAAATGAAAGACATTAAGAAAATGGCATTTAAAATCAGTCATTAAAAAGAAAAGATAATCAAATAAACATTAAAAGAAAAAAGTACATGGATAAAAGTTACAGTGCAGTTTAAGATATGAATAGTTCAATTAAAAGCAGCGGCAAAAAGAAAAGTCTTTAGTCTGGATTTAAAAGTAGTCAGAGTTGCAGCGGACCTGCAGGTTTCTGGGAGTTTGCTCCAGATATTTGGAGCATAATAACTGAACGCTGCTTCTCCATGTTTAGTTCTGACTCTGGGGACAGAAAGCTGACCAGTCCCTGAAGAACGTACAATGTGTTAGTGCGCTAGTGTTACATACTGAAGTCACTCTGTTACTGAAGTATACAAAGGAGTCCAATGGAGGTGGTCTATGGACAGCGTAAGTGTTTGGGAGAAGAATATTTTAGCCTTTGCAGACCATTTACATGCACACAAATCTATATAATACACTAGGAAAGGGACATTTCAAAAAAGCATAATTGGACCCCTTTAAACTTCAATTGAAATGGAAGGAATAGGTGTGTTTATAATACACACACAGCAAGCTGGAAGTAAATGTTCTGAATCATTTAGTTCCTATTTGCATTATAAGTGGCAGTGACTGACGTCTGCTCCGGTGCTGCAGTCACATCACCATAAACCAGAATATTGATTTCTTCCCCTCTTTGTGTTTCCTTGATGGTTTCCTCCATGTCATGGCACATCATGACTTACACTGAAGCGAACACCAACAGGATGTAAAACATCATTTGCTCCGGCTGTAGCTCTGAATCAATCTTTGAAAACACGTAGCACTCTCTGCCAAAGAAATACAAAATGTTAATTTTCTCTGCTGACAAGGAGCTGGAAACAGAATACATTGATGTGTGATTTGTCGGATTGGGGTGACAACTGCTTCTGAGGGTTTAATTTTGTTCGGTGCGGCACATTTCATGCTACATTATTAGTGTCAAAAGTGAAGAGCAAATGCAGAGGAGAGTCAGATATGGTTGAAAAAGGGGAAAAACTGTGACGCAAATTCCAAATGAAAGAGGAAACCTGTTGCAAACCAAATAAAAGACAGGATGTGTTTTAGCTCGTTGCCACATATGTGTTTTTATTTAATTTTCTATAAAAAACAACATACTGTTTTCACTCTGGTGTCTGTGTGTCGAGGGCTGAGGGGAAATTAACTGGAGTGCCTCCAAAGGTTACTTCAGGGACATTCTGCATGTGACTTACACACTTCATGTCACTAATTGTGGGAAGCACACACACACACACACACACGCACGCGCACACACACATGCACGCACGCACACACACACACACACACACACACACACACACACTAACAATTCAAGCAAAGTAAGAGTCCTTGACATTCTACTTGAAAGGTCTTAATTAGCTACAAAGACATTTGTTAATACTCTCTGTACGCTTGAGGTCATATTTGTTCTGAGTGTTGTTATGTAACACTGCAGATGTAACTTGATTTGTTCTAATGCTAGCAGGAAACAAGGAGATGAACACAAAGCACAAAAAATGCTTATTTTTAATATGACCCAGACAGCATAATCAAGGCATCTATTCATCTATTTAAAGTTCATTTAGCTAACATTTGGGTGTGCTACATAATATTTATTTCAAACAGTACAAACTGAAGTTTCCTTTCAATTATATATGTTAAGTATAAGACTGAAATGTATAACACAATAGGCTGTTTGTCGTGATTTATGAGGAGAAACCAAGAAAATCAATGTCAAATCTGACATTCAGCTTCCCTATATTCCCTAATGAAATATGTTTTTCCTAATTTGACCATCACTGCAAATGTTATACTGAGATTTAAATGTGAATCAGGCTAGTATTCGGGACGGTAAAGTGCATTAAAGTGCATGGAAGTGAAATTAATGAATTGAGAAAAATAAAGTCTCTTGATAACTTGACTTAAACTCCCACTGTACAGTTGACATATATATTCAATTTAATATTGTATAATCCATTCCTTGCCCAATTATTGTATATATAATATCCTGAACTATTCATATCTTAGACTGCACTGTAACTTTGATCCATGTATTTTTTCTTTTAATGTTTATTTTATTAGCTTTTCTTTTTAATGATGCCATTTTCTTAATGTCTTTCATTTTTTGTAAAGCACTTTGAATTGCCTTGTGTTGAAAAGTGCTATATAAATAAACTTGCCTTGCCTAATATCCTTATATTTTGTTACTGTAAATTTGTATTTCCACATGTATATTTTTTTACTTTATTTTACTTCCATTTCAGAAATATTTTGGATTGTTTATTTCTAGTGTTTTCATTTCTCTTATTATTCTCTTATTGTACATTGCCTTGTCTTTTTATGCTGCTGCAACGTAAACATTTTTGGACTCTTTCCAAAAATATATTTGTAATCCTTTTCTTATTAACGTCTCTTCCTGTGTTTTCGCTCAGGCATCGCAGCAGCCACCATGTTCACGTCGGAGAAGGTCACAGAGGTGTCAGAGTCCCAGCTCAGGGTGGCATTCGATGGTGACGCCGTCCTCTTTTCCGATGAGTCCGAACGCATCTTCAAGGCTCACGGGCTGGACAAGTTCTTCGAGCATGAGAGGGACAACGAGGACACGCTGCTGGATCATGTAAGTATCCCAGGACGTCTATTTGGACACTTCCTCTTGAACAGTATACTCTGCAGACACCATTCATAAATAATATGAAATAACACTAATTATAGATAGAATCAGTACAGATGCATTTCACTCTATCCAAGAATGTTGTTTTGTCATTTGTAATTAAAAAGAAAGCTTTAAACAATTATCTCCATCGAAGCCTCACATTGCTATTTCCTTGCAGACCCACTCAACTGTAAATGATTATGCAGATCATGTTTTCAATTAACAATCCAGTTTTATCACCTGGTTATTCTATGAATAAATTATGCAAAATTATATGATAAATGCATTCAAAAGTCATTGGTATTCAGACTGTTAGTTTGTGCATCTCTCTTCAGTCAAACAGCCAGCAATTATTACAATTGCTTTAAGCTGTGCAGGCTTGAAAACAAATGGTGCGTACTTGGTGCTAATTCAATAACAATGAGTGTGCAACATGTTAAGTGTGACTTTGGCACAGGGGGTTTTTATAAGTGTCCTCCAATCAGAGCGTCAGCTGTTTGATCCAACCAACTGCAGTCAACCTGTGGAAATGTACTTTTAGCTAGGATATTGAAGTGTATGTAAGGCAAGGCAAGACAAGTGTATTTATATAGCACCTTTCAACACAAGGCAATTCAAACATATTATAAAATGGCATTTAAAAACACTCATTTAAAAGCTAAGATAATAAAACATGAATAACAATGTTACATTAATTAAAGTTACAGTGCAGTGTGAGATACACACATCTGAAATGCTTAGCTCTGACTCTCAGTCATTGCTAACTTTTTAGCAGAAATAGTTTTCTTTGACCTCACTTTCTTTCTACTTTCTTTTTTAACTTATCCTTTAGTTAGTGTTGGGTGAAATAATCGTTCCTTTCCTTTCCTTCCTCTGTGTTGCAGGGTCCCCTTAAAGGCTTCCTGGAAGCACTTGGGAAGCTCCAGAAAAAGTTTTACGCTAAAGGCCAGCGCCTGGACTGTCCCATCCGAACGTACTTGGTCACAGCACGCAGCGCCGCCAGTTCTGGGATCCGGGCGCTAAAGACCCTCAGGGCCTGGGGGTTGGAGATCGACGAGGCCTTGTTCCTGGCAGGAGCACCGAAGGGCCCCATGCTGGAGAAGATCAGGCCTCACATCTACTTTGACGATCAGATGTTTCACGTGGAGGGAGCTGCTGAGATGGGCACGGTCGCTGCACATGTTCCCTACGGCATTGCACAGAAACATAACGCCAAACAGAACATCAGTGTGAGGAAATAGACGGCAGGGCTTCACCGTCATCCAGCCAGAAAAACAGAACAAGAGAATGAAGAAATGTCTTATTGAAGAATAAAAGTGAAGATGAGGATTTCCAGAGAGTTTGGAAAGATTAACTTGTTTGTGGAAATGCATCATTTCCATATAGTAGCCATTGTATTGTAAGTTTGGTTAATCAAAATGTAAACTGTCTCAGCTAAATGCTATCACATTAAATACAGGTTGTATGCTACTGCTTTAAATAATATCAGTCATTTAATAGACCATTATCAGTTGTAATCCTAAAGTATTGATTTGAAGTGGTATGGCCCAACTCTACCTATTAGTTGGCTCTGTAGGCTGTTATAATATACTGGTAAGCTGGATCACTGCAGGTAGATTTTAATTGTTGGACGGAGACCTCTAGTGGCCATAATAATTTTGACTGAAGCAAGAAAGGAAGTCAAATATTAAGTAGGATAAGCAAAAAAGTATGTGTCACTTACGTCGCATACGTAACTTATGCACACAAGTAAAAAACATAATTATTTTAATGGTAATATTACATTTTCCTTAACCTTACAAGGAGGGTTGTTTCAATTATCAACTTTAAAAACACGTTTAAAACTGCAAATGTATCACTTTCAGACAAGATGGTGCAGTTTGCCCTGTCTGAACATTATAACAGTATTTGATAATAACTGATAACAGATATTTAATAGGCTGATAGTATTTACATATGTTGACAGGTCAAGTAGAGGTCTTGATCCAGAGTTGCTTAGCGTTCCTAAGCTTTACATTTCAAGCCTCAATCTACCCAAAATTGAAGTGTTTTGTCAAATCTTGCATTATGGTACATTTGAAGGTGCTTTCAAAATGCTGTGTTGACCTGTTATTTTCTGTCATATTCTTTATAAAGAAGGTTCCTCAGTGAATACAGAAGGAATGGTTTCATATTTACATAAGTATAGCATTTTAGATTACAGTGTATGTTGGCAACACATGAACCAGAAGCACAATGCAGAGATATTTTAATGTACAGATGATAATGTACTATAGCACAAGAGTCATAATATGTAGTTACTGGGTTTTTCTTCACAATAATGTAAAATTGTCTGTTTGTATATTACTGAAGAAATCAATATTATCTATGTCGTGTTGGTCCAAAAATACATATAGAAAGCCATACGTTTCAGTTGATGCCTTAGTTTCAAGGAAGACACTATTTTCAGCCAATGGCAGAGTGGTAAGCTAATACTTTTTCTAGAAAATTCTCAACAACTGTTACATGGTTTGCAATAACATGGAAGTAAAAGCATTGAGGATCCGAAGACAATGATTTAGTGGTGATTCCCTACATTTTCATGGTCACATGAATTGGTCACAAAAGTGTCAGTTCATGCTAAAACACCTTTAAGCTAATGGCTAATTCCCCATAGGCCTCAGTTGTACATAATACCATCATCATGCTAACGTTTATCTTCTAAGCATGTTAAAAGTATTTAATTACAGAAGGCATTGTAGTATTTTATTACTCAGTCTATACATTTAGACAGCCATACGTTTCAGTGGGTGCCTTCAAACAGACACACCAGCTCTGAATTCCCTTTAACTGCAGTTGTGCACTAAATTAGCATGCTAAAGTTGACTATGCTAGCATGCTAATGTTAATGGTTTTGAAGCTGATCTTAGCCTAGTACAGTGGTTCTCAAAGTGGGGGGCACGCCCCCCTGGGGGGCGCAGAGACATGACAGGGGGGCGCGAGAGACCAGGAGGAAAAATGGTCATTAAAAAAAACAAAACAAAAAAATCATAATTTGAATTATTGATTCGAAAATAATATGATACAGTACAGTACTATTACGTCTGGGTCTCTGTGTTTCATTAAAGCTCGGCTCTGTGTGCGTGTGGAACGAGCCATTTTGTGTGCGTGCGTGAGCGAGAGAGAGAGCGCACCGGTACCGGAGATCGTTGTTGTTAGCGTCTGGTGCTAGCGAGCTACGCTAACGGATATAAGGAGTTTTTTCAACAACAAAGTGGAGGAGAGCCCTCTCCTGTCAGACTGAGAGACTCAGTGAACTAAAGGACTCTCTCAGTGTTTAGATAGTTAACTTTAGTCTAAGTTATATCAGTGGGTCTCAAACGTTTTGATGTAAACAATTATTTCCGAGGCACATGTTTATATGATCATTATAGTTAAAAATAAGAGAATAAATGAAAAACAGCTATGAAATACTATATGACAGTAAAAAAATAATAAAGTTTAAAAGGGGAGTGATTTGTAAAATATCCATAAAGAAAAAGTAAATCTGTTTCCAGTTCTGTTTCAAATGGGTGTTGAGAGAGGTATCCATAGATCTCGTCATTTTGCTCTCAAAGTGCACCAGATTGATGCTTTTAACTTCAATATTTAGAAATAAATCTTCCCGGGGGAGCTTGCCCCCGGACCCCCCTATGTGAGGTCCACATACCACCTATAAAAATAGCACTTGACCCCTGCTTACACCTATATGCCGTGAGCTGATTATCGAGCCTTCATTGTAACAGTCACGGGTACACTGTGTGTGTGTGGGGAGTGTTGCAGTAGAAAGTTCCTCTGTAGCGCCCGGTACATAAATGGGAAACCCTAAATGTTTGAGCACCCTCTATGAAACGTCAAACTACCCCACAGAACCCCCAAAATAAATCTCTGGCGCCGCCACTGAGCCTGACTATTTGTGTTGGGGGGGCCCGACTTTTGAAAGAAGTTTGAGAACCACTGGCCTAGTAACACTTGAGGATGACTAAGCCCATTGTACACGGATTAAGGTTGACTGAAATATGACAGTTCTGGTATTAAATATACCTAATATCTCTGCTTGATATGTAGTATTCAGTATAATAATATGGCTTTGCTCACTCATATTTCTCCACTAGACGTAAAAAAGAAGAGTAAGAAAGTGTTCAATTTGTCCTTTAATTTGGTGTAAACGGATAACAGGATGTGTGCAGGAAGATAGATGTGTTTACTCACCATCTGAAGTATCACCAATAACATGTTTCAAAAGCAGCCATCTTGATTTGACTGTCCTCTCCTGTACAGGCTTTGCCACTGCTAAGGTGGCATTGATTGATGTTGTTAAATTCAACTTGTTTAACTTATCTGACGATCAATAACCAACTTGTAATCATAAGCTGGTTTTATATACAGCTTTAATTTTAATTCTTGATTGACAAACAATAATGTGTTTTTTATTGACAAAATGGCAGCAGTGACCTTTTGGAAATGTCAATCCACTTCACTGCTGGCAATTCCTGAAAAAAACAATTGTTTATATTTAGAAATGATTAACTACACATCATGAGCTTTCTGAGTAACTCAAAGCTTGGGAAAGTTACAACACAACACTTTTATTCCACAAGCAGATCGTGTACATCATGTGTCTTTTGGCAGACATTCGCACGAAGAATGGCTGGGTTTTTGAAGGTTGAAGATTCAGAAAGATCAGTGAGACAGTTTAGACTTTACTGTGACTCTAAGGTGTAGATAAATGCAGATTAAGACATGTTTGAACTTTCAACAACATGCAGCTTTGTTGACATCTGTGAAAAATGTCATTGCAATAAGAAAATGTATGAACACTAATAAAGATGTCAGTTCAAGTTATTGCTTTACTCATGAATGAAAATATTGAAAGACCTTTATACAGTAATTAAACAACAATCAATCAATTAATTAAAGTTTATTTTATAAAGCCCAATACCACATTGTTTACATGTGTCTCAGGGGGCTTAACAGTGTATACAGAATACAAACACAAAGTACACTTTTATTCTGAATTCACTGATGTGCATTCCTGCATTGAACCATGGAGTGGCAGCACTGGAATGATAAATGGCCTTCTGCAAAAACTGGTCTTCATTCACCACAAATGTTGCAAAAGCACCTCTCTCTGTTGATCTAACAACATTACACTTGTCTTAAGTTATTAAAATGTATATGCAGCACCTTAGGCGGTGGTGGCGAAGTTGATAGGGACTTGACTTGGCAACTGGAAGGTCACCAGTTCAAGTCCCGACAAGACCAAGTCCCTGAGCAAGGCACCGTTCCCTACACTGCTCCCCGGGCGCCGTTCAAAATGGCAGCACACTGCTCCTAACACTAGGATGGGTCAAACGCAGAGAAACAATTTCCCCACGGGGATTAATAAAGTATATCATCAATCCTTCCATGCCTTCCTCATTTCTCTTTATTTCAACTCAACTTCGACTACAATGCACAGATTCATTTGATAGCTCTCACTTTCCCTCCCATATTCCCGATGAGTAATGGGTTAATATTTGTACAGATTCCCTACTGAATTGGATCTTCCGAGCACAGTCTGGGTAATAAAATCCAGAAAGCGCCAACTTCCAGTGCTGGTCATAGTGCTAACAACACCACAGGGACTTTCCTGCTGGTAAATGCTGATGGATTGACACTTATGTGGATTATAAACTCCAGAACAGTCGGTTGATGTTGTTGGAGACACAGTGGAGAGCAGGGGCAGATAGATAGGATATGGCCAGCTGGCGAACTGTGTAGAGCCAATGAACATTTCTTAATGACACACATGCACAGGCTGCCAGCTCTATCTATAAACAGACAATAACCATCAGCGTGAATGAAGAAAAAGGGAAAGATGTGCTTCACTCAATGATAAGGTGCCTGGGGAAATAAATCACCATAACAACCCTACATCCTGCTTCGTACAGATACCCCGCTTTGTTGATAAATACTGGAAGGTGCTCAAGTGAGGAAGAGATAAAAAGAAATTGTGGAGAATATATTTAATTTCAGACATTATACCTTGTGCTTTTCTCCCAGGCAGATATGGGAGGACAATCATGCAAGTAGAGAAAAGCAGTTATTTTATAGATAAGGGATACGTTCCACTGACTTCAATTGATGACCAGATATAAGACATTGCGTAACAGACCATAAGCTCAGATATAAGCTGTTTCACTGCCAGATGTGACCTACAGAGGAGAGGCAGCGCGGGGTTTTGTTGGGGGTTGCAGTCGGCCTTTATCAGCAGTGCTGACACACAAAGTAAGACGGAGATATATATAAAAAAATATCTGAATAAAAACAATTATAATAATAAAGACAGATGGTGAGGAAAGCAGCACTTGCCCCAAAGACAGGGATATGTTTTCCTTCTGTTCGTTTACAAAGCAGAGTGGCACCCGGGGAGGGAAACGATGAGAGACTCAGAGTCTTGGCGGAGGAGATCCAGCAGTGGGAGACAAGATGTTTTTGTTCCACACACACTTCTTTGTTTCATACGAACTCAACTGCTCAAAGCGCTGCAAGGGTCATTCCAGAATTGGAGGACATTTCATGTCCCCCATATAAAAAATCTAATAATCCATGCCCAAAATGCTAAAACATGCACTTGTTGTGTTAAACATACTTGTCTTGAGACAAAATGTATATAAAGTTGTAGAACAAGTGGTTTCAAAATATTATTTAAATGATCAAATAGCTCTCGAACATCCCCTAAAATGGCATTTTTCTCTTGTCCCCGCTTCTTGGTGACCAACTTGCGTCAAATATAACATTTAAAATAGGGATTTTATTTACTTTTTTTGGTTATTCTATTGATATATGTCTCTTGTAATGGTAACATCAATTTGTTAAATCATAAACACATTTTAAATAACAATAATTTTGCACAGAAGGTGTGTCCCTCAACATGCGTTCAACCCTGTTACCCAAACCTTTTTAGATTGGCACAGGAAGTGAAAAAACTGTAAGTCAGATGACACACAGGAAGTGACATCAGCAAGCCACGTGCTAGTGCCATGGGTAGACCACAACTAAGTCCTCTCTTTTATTATTCATATTTTTACAATCTTTTCAGTCTTAAAAGAGTGTGGCACTCTGACCCACGCAACCCTGTTACTGATATTATCAGAAT